ACAAAATGGGCAATACTAACATATGTATTTTTGCAAGCATAAACACTCAGGTATACTAACAATAGTCACATGGGTATAAGTTATGTGCAGATGAACTGTATTCATAAAGAAATAGGTCAAAAAGCAAAATGTAAAAACACATATCACTATGGTTGGTAATTGTGTGTACCCAGCTTTATAATTGTAGTCATCTGAAATACCATGATGGACAACCTAAGTCTTTTGACAAGATCAATCAAAAATCATGATGGGTCACCACTGTATACGTAGTCACCTAAAAAGCCAAGATCTTGAGAAATTTTATCTTTCACAAATATAGATGTACAAAAAAGACATTTCTTCATTTATTGAGGAAGTTTCAACGTTTTTATGTAAATACAGAATGCTTACAGACATAGTCAATGTTGTGATAATGCACTTTCCTGGGGTCAAATTTGAAAAAAATGCATAAAACGAATTAGAAGTCTGTAAAAGTCTTTACACATTTATACCTGTAGTATTGTAAATGATGTGAAGATAAAATACATAGCACAGTAAATTGTAAAAAATAATGCTGACAATTTAAAATAGTTGGAGGGGACTAAAAAAACCTTAAACGAAAATTCGACATATAAAAAAGTATATTACAGGGATAGATTGTGATGATACACAAATGGACAATAAGCTATAAAAAGATCCTCAACATCACTAATAATCCGAGAAATGCAAATCAAAACCACATCAAGATATCACTTCATACCCATTAGGATTACTATTACTAAAAACAAAACAAAACAACAACAACAAAAACCCCAGAAAACAACGAGTGTTGGTGAGTATGTGGAGAAACTGGAACCCTGGTGCACTCTTGAAACTGCTATGGAAAAAAGCATGAGGTGCCTCAAGAAAATTAAAAATAGAACAGCAATCCCACGTCTGGGTATATATCCAAAAGAATTGAAAGCAGAGTCTCAAAGAGATATTTGCACACTTATGTTCATAGCAGCACTATTAACAATAATCAAGATGTGGAAGCAACCTAAATGTCCATCAGTGGATGAATGGATAAAGCAAACTATGGTATACACATACAGTGGAATATTATTCAGCCATAAAAGGAAGAATATCCTATCACATGCTATAACATGGATGAACCCTGAGGACATTACACTAAGTTAAATAAACCAGTCACACCAAGACAAATACTGTATGACTCCACTTATATGAGGTATTTAAAGTAGCCAAATTCATAGAAAGAGAAAGCAGAATGGTTGTTACCAAGGGCTTGGGGGGAAGGAAAAAAAGGGAGTCGTTTAACGGATACAGAGTTGTTGGGAAGGGTATGGTGAAATGTGCGCTTGAATCCTGAAAGGAATGTAAATTGATATAATTCTGTAGGGTAATTTTGCAATAAATATATATATATATATATATATATATATTT